CTAGCCGTGTTATCATGTCACATTTCACCGTGCAGGCAATACCGTGCGATTGGAGCGTGTCAATTTTTAACAACAAAATTTTAGAACGCGACACTCAGGATTGCGCGAANTAAACTTTCATGAAGTCAGCCAGATGGTTCTGAAAAGGTATAGGCGGCTAAGTAGAAAAAATGAGTACCATTATCCCAAAATGCTAGTCATAAACCAATGTTAACTTATCAGAAGCTAACTTGCCTAATTCTACCGCAGCTTTAGCGGTTGGTACTGCTAAACCTACCACCATTAAATATATTCATCAGAGGAAAGCCAGGTCCGTATATTGTAGAACAACAAGGACACTCGCCAATTGTCCGGAGTCAGGGTGGGGTATATCAAAAGCTGTGCGTTGATTAATGCTGAAATTGAGCATTTAACACCGACGTACAAGCTCCGAAGAAGTTTCATCATAAAATACCAGCATAGAAGAAAGAGCGCCCTGTTAAATCCAGTCCAATCAAATAAAGGCATAGAAATATAGACTAGAAAGGAAACTAATGAAAAATTAGAAGCGATTGCCATGATATACCATGCAATGGAGTTAATAAAGAGGAGTTTTGAAAGCCAATGCTTTCGTCAAGTTTGTGATCTTTGCTTGAATAACAGAACATGAGGGACATGGGGACAACGAAGACGTTGCTGAGTTAACTAGATTAGGCTCATCTTCAACCCTACTGCGACATTACTAGCTATGCCATTAAGACACTTATGCAGAAATTGAAGAAAACTGAGGTTTAGAAACGATGGCAAAGTTACAAATCAATAAGGATGAAGACCATAACGTTAGATAGCATTAATACAACATTCCAACGGTTTGCAACCTCGATGTTGCAACCTTATGGCATTGAATAAGCCAAATATGTAGTACCAGTCGAATTATAAAAGAATACAGACGACCTCAACATCAAGAGGATTGCTACTGCACACAGCAAACTCAGGAAACATGTGAGTAATATTGGCCTGTGTAAATGTAAAGGCATATCAAAAGGATGTTATCTATGATGTATATCATAGATGCACAGAAAATTAAAATAAATAATTTAGACAATAAATACCTGAAACGAAAGTTAATGAATATTGAATCATTTACATTGTATTTTTCTAAAATTTGATTTCAGTTCTGGATTTGTCTTCATTTTGCTAGTTACATAATATACATATATGAATATTATGATATAACTAACTATTTATATTAGTTATCGGTTTATTAACACTACAATATCAATGCTCAGTTTGTGAACATTGCAACTATTAGTCGGTTTAAATCTTCCAATTTTAATATTAAATAAAGAAAAGCTATATGACTTATAGGTATATTTAATATATCCTCAAACATATTGGCGTACAATACTGCTTTATATGTCATTATATAACCTAATGGAATTGTGTTTCTATTCTGCTAAGTAAAGAAAAACATATAACTTGTCTTTGATTAAATGTATAGGAAATCTATAATTATTTATAGATATTCTATACATTTAATCTAAGACGAGTTATATGTTTTTCTTTACTAATTTAATAATTATTATTATTAAAGCAAATGAAGGATATATTAAGCTTGAGGTTTATTATCGCTAAAGACGGCAATATATGAAACTGACATAATAAAATAATAATACACTTAAACTGAAGAAAATGCAGTGTTCTACTACTAATTCTAGAAATGATTGCCTTTTTTACATATAAAAAGTACTGTCAAATATTCAATGTCAAGATAAAAGAAAGTTAACAGAGAATAGTACATATTATCTATAACATTATTGTAACTAAAACTTTTTTATTGTTTGTATATGAGATAAAAATATACCTATATGATTCGATTTCAGCGAGACGTATGAAAAATGTGCATTTCTACTTACCTTCAGCTGACGCATAAGCGAAAATTGCAAAGAGACCTACAATAACAATCAATTTCTGCATGCTGACTTCTAGTTTCAGATTGCTTCACCACTAAAGCAACGATTTAAATGGACATAAAGAAAAGCGTACTACTTTATATAGCGTACCTATAACTAATTGAAAATATTATCTATGTAAAATAATAACTTTTTTTAATTTCTGGAAATACGTCAGTGACAAATACATTCTTAAAAGAAGTGCTTCAGAAGTGATTACATTGTATACAGTCGACCAGTTCGCCTATCAATAAGTTTTCATACAATTGTTATACGATTATTCATTTTCTAAATTAATAAAATTAATATTCTGTTCTCTAATATTGTTTAGGACTTGACGCTATAAAATCATTATTGATTACACCGGCACCAAAAAACCCAAGTGCGAAGATGTAGGCTCCGGTAGTGCTACTCATTTGATGTCAATAATCGATAAAACACACTCTTAGAGTCTTAAGACATTTGGCTCCTAATATTTAGAATTGGTCATTTTAATACAGAATATCAGGCATACAAAACAGTCCAAATCCAAAGATCTGACATATCATCTGGTTTGTATGTCGATGTTATGAAAATCTTACAAGTTTGTCAAAACACTGCTTTAAAAATATTATTCCATAAAAATCGTAGATATTCCTCAAAATTACTTTATGAACAGATAAATGTTTTTGATATTAGAGGTTTATATTATTATAGTGCATTAATTTACATCGTAAAAATAAATAAAAACTACCCAATGCTTTTGCACGGCTATCAAACAAGAGCGATAACAAATAATACTATTCAGACGCCTTTCCTTAAAAGATCACATCTTCAAAGGAATATACTTTTTTATGCACCTAAATTTTACAACTTAATTCCTGCTTCAATAAAAAAATTTATGAATAATAAATATAAATATAAGAAATTAATTAAAACATTTTTATTTCAAAATTATATAAAATTCGAACAAGTAACAAATAACATGTAAATTTAGTGTAGAGATATGTTGCTGTTCTGTAAGACTCTTAAACTATTTTCAGTTTTTTTCTTCTTGTTATTAAGTATATGTATATATATTACAAACCTAATTATATTTAGTTATAAGTATTACATGCTATTGTCTGTACAGAGAACAGAAACATTCAAACACAGACTGACTTATCAGTCTAGCTGAAGTTTCTGTTTTTCTAAACCTGAATTGTAATTGTAATTTGTTGTTGTTTTTCAATAAATCTAAATCTAATCTAATCATTTCCGACGTATTGTAATGAGCTGAAAACGATACCGTAGTCAGGATCTATGCACTACCATCCAGTATCTAATAGCAATATTTAGGGTAAGAACAGTCTCAAAAATTGCTCAATCATAGCCCAACATTGATTTTGCTCTACATAATATCTGATATATAATTTCCGATGTATTTTGATCAACTGAAAAAGATAACCGGCCAGTAAGATACGCTAGAAACAAATATTAACCTAAATCTCGTTTATCTGAGATATGTGAAGACTCCTTCTTTAGTTAAATTGAGCGAATTTTGGGTTCATTTTTACCCAAAACATAGATTTTACAAGATACTGGTCGATTGTGCATAAATTGTGACTACGGTATCGTTTTCAGCCGGTGAAAATCTGCCAGAAATGATATGTCGGATAATGTAGAGCAATATGAATTTTGGACTATGAAAGAGTAATTTTGGATCCGTTCTCACAAAAATATAGATTTTACAAGGTACTGACCGGTCGTGCACAAATTCTGACTACGGTATCATTTTCAGCTGCTCAAAATACATCGGAAATGATTAGTCAAATATTATGTAGAGCAAAATCAATTTTGGACTATGATAGAGCAATTTTTGGGTCCGTTTTCACCTTAAATATAGATTTTACAAGATACTCGCCGGTTGTGCATACGGTATCGGTTTTGAATTGGTCAAAATACATCAGAAATTATATATCAGACATTATGCAGAGCAAAATCAGTTGTGGGCTATGATTGAGCAATTTTTGTGTTCGTTTTCACCTTAAATATAGATTTTATAAGGGATTTTATTTTTATAAGGATTTTATTTCTGGTCGGTCGGGCATAAATTCAGACTACAGTATCTTCTTTAGTTCATCAAAATACGTCAGATATGTTAGATCTTTGGATTTGGACTTTTTCGTAAGCCTGATATTTTATTAATTATAATGGCCAACTCTAAATATTTACTAACTAAACTTTGTCTAATAATGTGTAGCACTGTCGGAGTCTACATTTTCGCACTCAAGTTTTTTTGTGTGTAGGTGTCATTCATCATTAATTTAATAATGTCAACATTTTAAGTACCTACTTATATGAATACAACTTTATTTTAACGGTTTAAAATTCATCTACTATTTTAATTCTTGTCAACATTGGTAATTCTATATCTGGTCTTATTCTGTGTCTTGGCATCCTTATAACATAATCAACAAATTGCCAAATAAAATTAGACCACGAACTATCCGGAAAAAGATTCCCTTTAATTTCTGTGAAAGCTTACCATTCTTTTTGTTTTATTGCATGATCTAGACTTCATCTGTTTAAAAGAATCAGGATTTTTTAACATCCTTCATCTGACAGAAATGAATCAAACCACCTAAAACAATTAAATTACGAAAGCAATATATTGTACACAAAGAATGGAAAATTAAGAAATATGTCACTTTCAAACAAGAAAAGTAAAATTTCATATTATGATGGACATTTAAATTTATCCACAAAGATAAGATTAGATTAACCCAAGAATTTAATTTTCAAAATAACTTTGCTCATTATATTAATCATGATTATTAAGCATTTCCAAAACAATTACTTTTTGTGTTATTTAATAACTTTATATTGGGAATATTAGAATTAGGAATCTTATTATATAAATTATCATTTTCCATTATACCTTTCTCGGGAAAGACAAAACCTGTAGAAATCAAATTGTGGATTTTTTAAAATTTGTTTAGAACCTGTTTTGTAAATTTCGGGCAGATGAACGGATGAATCTGTAATACTAAAAGCATTACAGCTAGATAATTACAAAAACTTAGTCGCTTATGATTAATAATATTCTAATGTTAACACATATTCTTTATTTTATCGTTCAATTATCAGTTTTGTTTCTCTAGTTAATCGTCTGTATCTTCTGCTGTTGTTGGTGGGGGTGCGGTGGAGGTCAGCAAGTCACCACAATTTACATCGGTATTACAAACGTTCAATCTTGCATCCCAATAACTTCCGGGAGCGCAATCAAGGAGGGCGGCTTCTCCATTATGACACTCGTAGAACTTTCCGCATTCGGTCTCATGAGGGAAATACGTGGCTGTGCTGTTTTCGTTTTCTTCAGGACAGTTGACTGGAAAATAGAATTCTGTAATTAGGCTCTCATTAGACGCTTTCTCAGTGGAATATAGATTAACGTTAAATTAAGAACTGCTTTACTCATTTTGTGTCTCCAATATTTCTTTATCAATTGCTTCAGCACTTATGCTATTTGATACGATCTAGCTGAAGAAATAACTTCGTAGACAAACTAATTAATTAAAAATGATCTAAAGTAAACTAAATCCAATGACGATTTAATTAAATTTCTGCATATTAAATTTAGTTTTTCAAGAGGCTAAATATGACATTTTTGTAAATGTGCAACAAGATGACAACTACCAGGACTATCCAGTGTTTAGCCATAACCTGGTGTCAATTTCTGAAGTGGACGAAGTGGCGTACTGTGAAGACTATGAAGCCTAAGTCCACTACTGGACCTGATTCAGTGCCTACCTTTGTTGTGAAGGATTCCGTCTCCAGTTTCGTAAAGCCCTATTTTAACCCTAGTTTTATGAATAGTGTTTTTCCTGGTAAGTGGAAAGTATCAAAAGTTGTCCCTTTGCATAAGTAAGACGGTAAGAATCAAATTGTAAATTATCGTCCTATTGGAGTTACATAATAATATATGTAATTTTGCCAAGTTATTCAAATCAATTTTGTCACTATTTAGGTCATCATGGCAGTCAGTGGAGCAACATAAAGTACTAATCTTTGTAATTTTACACAATTTGTATCGGACGGCTTGAGTGAAAGGCAACATGTTGATTGTTGATGTAATATATACTGACATTTCTAATAAATTTATTTAAACCAGTGTGATTGAATAGGTTGCAATATGTAGAGATCATGAGACATAAGTCAGAATTATTAACTTGGGACCGTTGTTGTTCTTGTATTTTTTAATGATATCGTCGAAAGTCTAACTTTTTCTAAATTGCTGTATGCAAATGGCTTAAAGGTTTTTAATAGTGAAACCGATTGCATGTCATATCAGGATGATCGTGACATCATTCACGAATGGTGTATTTATAAGAAATTGAATATAACCGTTAGTAAATGTAAACTTTTGTTAGCATCACTGTATTTTGATTATAGTATTTAATAATGTTAAAATTCAAAGAGTTATTTTTGTTAAATACCTTGGAGTGACGTTTATGGTTTCAACAACATTTTGAGATAATATGAAAATATGTTTTAAAAATATTGTAATAAGAAATTCCAGAGAATGCTCGTGTTCGTAATAAGATGGAGTATGCCTGCATGATGTCGGTACTTTATTATAATACGCACGATCAGTCTTTTCAGACGATACAGCAGAAGTTTTGCAGGTTTCTGTTTTTGAAACAGTTTGGATACTACCTCAATGGAAATATATCTTACTCTGAATTGTTAAGTTCCTACCACGAATATTGACAGTCTCCAGAAATATTGAATGATACATCAGGTAAATCATTTGCATTTATCAATAATATTATAGATGGTATAAGTTCTTTTAGTAAATGGTTTCATTTCATATACAGGGTGTCCCAGAATAACGTGTACAACGTGGACTTAAAATAAGCAGATTTAGGCTAATTCACCTACATCTGAAATCGCTTCGTTTGACCGCTAGATTTGGCCCCAAAATTATTTGAATTTTGTAAATAACTCGATTTTGATTATTTTTGGGGTGTGACTTTTGCTTTCAATCTACAAATTTTGATGTTATACAGAGTGTTTTTTAAAACTCACAACTCCTACAAAATTGATGTATGGTGATAATACCCGTTCACAACGTTTTCCTCTTTGGGGCAATAATGACTATTTTTTATTTGGAAGTTTTTGAGCCTCTTATAGAATTTTTATTAAATGAGCGGTTTGGGTACAAAAAAACTTTGAGGCCATCTAACTGCCAAACGAAGCTATTTCGGATATAGGTGAATTAGCCTAAACCTGCCTATTTTGAGTCCACGAATCTGTGGTCTTCCGTTGTACATTTTGAGACACCGTGTATGTACCTCGGTATTCCGTCATATACATCACATTAGTATACAATATCTCTGGTACAGAAAGCCTGCCTAGGAAAACCTTAAAAATGGCATTATAATATTAATGTACAAACAATACAGGGCAAATTTCAACATTTTTTCATTTTCGATTATTAATGTCTAAAAGGTTGCGTGCACCCCATTATTAATGATATCTTTACTTTCTAACATGCCAAGATATTTACAATTAAGTTTAATTTCCTTTAAAGTATATTAGCATTAAAAGGGCTGCTATAGTAAAATATATTTCGAAAATTCGAAACTGCTTCTATACATTATTTGAAATTTATATTGCTTAGTATGAATTTTTTAAAAGTTACCATCACACATCACCAATTTTGTATTTAATATTGTACAATGCCCCATCATTTTTAACAAGTTCCTACTTGCTATTAATTAATAACATACTGTGTCAGTTTATGCCACGTATTCAATACTTCACCTTTATATCAAAGATTTTGTCAAAGTTACACCACAGCAATATTGACCACTTAAGTATAAAAAATAGATTTATGAACCCGAAAAGTAGATATTTATGTTGAATTGATTTATAAGAAGTCTACCACGTACCTTCGGCTGAAGCAAAGGATAGAATAGCCACAAGACCCAATATGACAAGACCCAATACGACAATCAGTTTCTGCATTTTGGCTTCTTGCTTTGCACCACTTTAAAACACCAACGCAATGATTCTAATCAAATAAATGTGTGCAAAAGTGTACGAATTTATATAACATACCTATCTTCTTCATTAGCGTTATCTAGTAAAATATCTAATGCTTCTCGAAATACTTCAGCGCTCAAATGCATTGTTAAATGAAGTACTGCACAGGTGATCCTGTAATCTCTTTGTGATCGACAGGATTAGTGATTAATAAAATCTACTAAAGTTATGTCAATTATGATAAAATGCTTTAATTTAGGTAAATTGTTTTTATATCTAAAATATTTCGAAGACTGTTCATTTCTTATTACTCATTTTTGACGTTATCAATTCAAGGTTGACACAATTGTAGTTGCCTTACTTTTAAATTTTTCGATAACAAAAGTCTTCAATAGATAGTGTATTTTCAATTATTCTTTCTTCAAATACTTTGTATGTGTGGCTACAAAATCTCTGCTTTAAAAATGTACCTACGTAATAAATCGATATCCCTGCATCTCTCTCTTTCTCTCTTGCATCTCTTAACTGCATCACTTTAAAAAAAACGAATTTATATAGCCTCGATTTTTGGGAATCAAAGGAACCTTTATAACACAAGCACTACAATTGTAACAATTGTTGAATATTACTTGTTGAATTGTTAAAATTCTGTAACATACCGCACCCTGTAGCTACATGTGCCGAACTTGTAATTACGGAGAATTTTCTACAGAGTTGTTCTGTAACTCAACGTGAACGTTTGTTTTTTACTACAATTGTAAAACAATTTTGACCTAAATAAAACCGTGGGTAGATTCTCTTACAAGTGTAGTATAACAAATATGTTGCTCAATGTAGTCGTACTAACATGTGGTCCAATGATTCTAGAGAAGAAGAAAATGCTAAGAGAGTTGAATATTGTTTTAGAGACCGAACAGATTTTGTTTTCCTGTCTGACGAAGAGTTTATAGAAAGATTTCGACTGAATAGTAGGCTATTGACTGTGTCAAAAAAACGAGGGTACAAAGGAACTACAACGTAACAGAAATTTTATTGTTTGATATGTTCAATTGACCCTAAAAAATGATAAAACCGCGGAGTGCTACCTTTTAAAGGGGTGCGTTTTTGAGAACGAAGTAAAAAGGTGGTATTTCCAGTTTTTTGAGTTTTACTCGAAAACTATGCATTTTTTCACTATAGTTGTCAACAGAAAAGTTGTAGCAAATTGAATTTCCCATCGAAATGAGACCATCTGAAGTCAAAAAAATGTATTTTTAAGGAGGCAATCGAGATAAGGTAAATTTTTCACTTGTTGAATACTTCTGAAATAATTTATATCGACAAGTTTTTAGGCTGTCAATTTTTGAACTATACATTGTAGTTACAATGCATTCAGATGCGGTAATGATTTTCAAGTAAAAATACATCGAGGTAATTTTTTAATTTTGAAAAATTCGATTGCCTCCAACAACTGATGCTCTCAAACATCATGGGTTAAGAGTATATTTTCAGATGCAACAGTAGAATGGTTGTACTTTAAATCCCCTAGATTGGGGTTGGAAAAATTCCATAAATGGGCTAGTTCCCATTTTTAATAATAAATCTCCTGCACCTGAAAATTTACTTGAAAAAATAGCCTGTAAATGTATTAAAGAATGCCAAGGAAACTGTGGCTACCGAAAGTTGGAAATAAAATTTTCAATGTTCTGCAAAGTATGTATGGGAATAAATTGTGAGAATGCTTATGAGCCTGATTTTTCTGAAGAGGACATTGATGAAAATGATGACGACGAAATTGATATTAATATTGAAATTATACTAACTATATGAAACTGAAAATTTGTAAGATATATATGATTAACTGTTGTTTTAATAAATAAATAATAATATCCAATCACCTAGAAACTTATTTTAACTTTCACATTCACAAAAATAAATTTATTAGACAAAATAATTCCGAAAGTAATAAAAATTTTATAAAAATAAGAAAAAGTATCGTTGGTTAAATTGACATATCTCGGTTGATTTTAATTGTACAAACTTCTACCAGGCACCATTTTAAAGGTTTTGAAACCAGCATTTATTTGAATATGACATTACATAAACCTAAATTAACTCAGAAAAAAAGTTATAAGACGAAAATCGTCAAAAAAGGGCAAAAATTGGCCAAAAATCCAAAAAGTAGCTTTGATCCAATGTATTTCGGTTTCTATTAGTCGTAGGTACTTTTATAAACGCTTATTTTAAAGGAAAAAACATTAACCTTTTTTTCTGTGAAGCAATGCCTACACCTAACTCCTCTCAGAAAAAAGTTGTGGGACAAAAATAAAAAAACGCATGTTTTCGGTTTTCTTTACTCGTTTTCTGGTCAATTTTTTGTTAAAAATAAATGTTTTTGACTTCAGGAGGTCTCATTTCGATGGGAAATTGAATTTGCTACAACTTAAAATACCACCTTTTTACATCGTTCTCAAAAACGCACACCTTTAAAAGGTAGCACTCCGCGGTTTTATCATTTTTTAGGGTCAATTGAACATATCAAACAATAAAATTTTTGTTACAGGAAATAAATTAACTTCACTTTGCAGACTTCTACATATTCTACAAGTCTTGTAGATTATTAGCTGCACTTGTACGACTTTTTCCTATTTCTTACAAAGTGTCGCGGTGAAGTTTGTGTTACAGAATCTTTATGGACTTGTAACTACAAGTGAATTTCTTAAGGCGGCTATCCATTTGTGTCAAATGCCCCGTAACGTAACACCGAACATGTTACGTTACAGCTAGTGGAGACGGAAAATTGTTGCATGGTACGTGTAACAAATTTGATACGCGTAACTAAAACGAGACGAACCATCAGTTGTCGGTTTTTAGTCGTCGCATCAAAGGAATGCAACAGTACTTTCTGACACATGTTGAGACGGGGTTACCCTTTTGGCCGTAACGTTGCCTATTGCACATGTGATTTTGTCTTATTTTTTGTTTCGTCAGTATTTTGTATATGGTCTGGGGTCAGTCTCTTTTCTGCAGTGACTGGGAAGAGTGTGTTTTCCTGTGTTTGTGCCATGGAGTGGAGTAAAGAAAAGATTTCCGGAGATTTCCGTTTCTTATTCTTCAAAATTGTATGATGAATAAAAATATATGACGCTGCTGCTAACTACAATTGCAGTGACGAATCCATTACTGCAGTCAGGTTCATACTGCGAATTTATGTTCCTATTTCGTCTCGTAACCTTATTTTGTTACGTTACGGAATGAATGATACGACCAAAACCACGCATACTTTCGCAGCGAACCGTGTCACCTTTTGCAACAGGCCGTAACATGTTCGTTGTTACGTTACGGAGCATTGCCACAAGTCCTACTTTTGTTACGCTTGTATGGCTTGTATTATAAGCTCCAGGAAATAGTGAACAAACACTTGAGTCCTGACATGCTCAAGTGAAAAAGATAGGTCACATGATGTAGAATGAGATGAAAATGCAGGCTGCAGGCAACCCATATGGCTCCGATTCCCACTTCATTACTTTGTCACAGCGCACTATGGTGGGAAATGCCTAAAAGCTGGCCAAAAATAAAAAATTTATTGCAAATTGTATAAAAGTGGATATACTGGGGTTTTTGGCCCAACTGATTACGAATTTGACAACAAAATTGAAAAATTCAAAATGGCGGATGTAATATGGCGGATTAAATTTTAAAAAAGTCGAATAAACTGACAAAAATAGGTGTTTCGGGGTTTTTAATTACGAATTTCATATTGAAATTGAAAAATTTTAAATGGCGGATCTAATATGGCGGACGAAATTTGACAAAAGTGGAATAAACTAATGGATGTGGATATTGGAGTTTTTGACCGCACTGATTATGCGAAAATTCAATTTATTGTAAAGCAGACAAATTACAATTCTTAAAAATGTGTCATTTCATCATTTCTTTATTTAATATTATTTGTTACTCAAATTTTAATACGCATACATGAATACTAGAGTGTTTTGAGTTTGGAACTTAGCAAATCTGATCAGGTTAAACGGACCTCGGAATCGGATTAAGCGATCCCAAAAACGTATAGATACATTGATTTACTTTATTGGCAATTGATTCTCTACAGTTGACCTTGAATTGGTCTTAACGCAGACTTGATCGGATCAAACCGACACCGGTTTCGTATTCAGCGACCCCAAAAACATATAGATACCAGGGTCTTGTTTTTCAAATATTCCACTTTTTTTGCGTGGCTGTGAATTGACAAAATCGCATCGACTATCCTTTTCTATGTCATACTCGAGTATTCTTTCTCTTTATTTACTTATTGTCCTTTACTATTCTACTTATATGTGTTTTTCCAAACATTATTTTTACTTATTTTATAATAAGTGCAATACTCTTTTCACTTTTTATTCGACATTTTTGCTTTATTCATAGGTATCGTAAAAGCGTAAAAGCGCAGCTAAGCGCAGATATTTTTTTCATAATATTATAGTAAACTGATCATAGATTATGGGTCAATAAGTAATTTAGCCTTATGGTGCCTTATATATAACTTTTAAGTTCACTTTTGAATGATTTTCGTAATAAATTTAAGCATTATTTGTCATAAACAATAAGTGATGAAAATAAGTGGACAATGAATAATTTATAATGTTGAAATACTTTACATACCTCCTGGAACAACGTCCATTCTATTACAACTTTATCAGAACAATAAATACATTTTTACAACACTTTGAACATGTGATGTACTTTTGTGTTCGCTTAGGCGGCTACGAGACACACACAATAAGGTTACTTCGACTTCAAATTCTAGCTCCAGTATAAACGGCAAACTGTTTCCACCGGTCAATTTGCCAACCTGATACTTAAAAAATTCCGAATAGAAACTTTTTTTTAATTTTTGTCCAGCTTTTAGGCATTTCGTTCCACAGTGCAGCGCAACCTACCCTCAGAGCTCGAATGAAATTGGTTTACTTTTAGAGTACGGTGGTTATAGCTACTGCTGCAAGTATAATCTCTAAATAATCATGATAATGAAAAACGGTCAAAACTTATGATACCAAAAAAAGGATTTTTGTTTTTTCTTAATTTATTAAGTTGAGACTATCCTAATCTATACTCTAGATTCAAGGTTACTTTTTATTATCAACCTTATATTTTAATTAACGAAATTGATAATTTTTTAGTGATTAATATCTGATGAATACGTCGCTAACTTGTAACCTGACAGCTAGTAGATATACTCTTTGTAAAGATCGTACGTAAAAATTCCTTAGAATTTGAAATAAATTAACAGTTGAAACAGCGCGCAATTTTTAAAAACGGTTTTGTACTACTATGAACATTTTTACATTTTTATTTATTTTATTCTGTTTATCATTTTTATTTTTCTTATTCTAACCGAGCTTCTTCTGTTGGTGGTGGATCTGTTGGTTCTGGTTGATCTGTTGGTTCTGGTCCATCTGTTGGTTCCGGCCCGTCTGTTGGTCCTGGTCCCTCTGTTGTCGGTGTTGATGGTGTAGAAGTCAACAAATCACCACAGTCTACGTTCCTGTTACAAACGTTCAAGTTTTCATCCCAGTAGAGTCCATTGGGGCAGTTGAAAAGTGTAGCTGTTCCGTGATCACACTCGTAGAACTTTCCACATTCAGTTTCGTGTGGGTAGTAGATGGCTTCACTATTCTCGTCTTGGTCGGGACACTCAACTGAAAGAAAATGTTAGATGAAATATCTTCCAGCTTTGTTAATGAATAATGTGAGGACCAAATTCATATTCATACAGAAAAATATATACTACACACAGTGGCTCTCCTATATTTTTTTTATAACACTGATTATATAAAAGACTTTTCTATTTTATTCTCTAATTTTTAATACTGTAATTTTTTTTGGTCCCAGTAACTGTCTACAACTTGAATGAAAATAACGAAAATTTTAACCAAAATTGAACTGCACATACATATGAAGTATTCTATGGGAAATCACTGAGGTCGTGACCTGACCATTTTTAATTTTCCTGATTATTTAGTATTAGTAGCTTTCATGATTTTTTCCAAATTTTTGTTTCAACCCCTCAAGAAGTTAAGAGCATTTGAATATTTTGAGTAAAAAAAGTTTTCAAATATCTTTAACTTGGCAAAAACTAAAGATATAAACTAATTTTGGGACCATGACCAAAAATGAATATTTATCGAAATAAGCAACTGTGAAAGCGAGCGAGTCCCATCGCCCTTATTAGTCCAAGCATTCTGTCACGGATTAATGTTTAATTTGCAGAAATTATTACCTGGACAAAAAAAATATGACTGTATAGAAAATCAAATTTTAAATTGAGTTTCTTGTTCTTTAAACTCTATCCAAAATGGCGAACATGGTTAAAAAAAATTGCAAAGTTGCAAAACACGGTTTTTCTAAAAGAACTAAAAAAATATAGCACCGATTGAAAAATTTTAAATGAGAAAGTTGTAGGTTTTAAAAAGATCTATCGATTGATTTTTTGTAAGTATCGACTGCTTTGTTACTTTTCGCGATATATCGAAAAAACCGTTAAAAATGTTCTCTTTTCTCTTCATCTATAACTCGTTTACATCTACGTTCCCATATTAGCTATTTACTGCAAGCACAGCCCGCGGCAAGACAAAAAAGTATATTTTTGAAAAATTTAAAAATATTAATTATTTTTCGAGATATATCGATTTTTTGAAAAAAAGACGCTCTCGAAAATTGGCTAGATCTTCTCAGCGGATAGCCCTACAGTAACGATTTTCAGTTTATTTCCTTCGTAAAGAGTTATATTATCATGCTGTTAAAAAATGTTGACGATTTTATTAATTTTAAGGATCAAAAAATGACTTTGAATAAGTTGCACTTTTTTGGGTATGTTTTTTTCAAATTACTATTTCAATTTTTATTTTATGAAAATGACTTTTAAAGAAAGAAAACTAAACATTTACGGGTCTATTTTGCTTCTAAGGCGAAAATGCTATAATATTCGTGTTTAGCTACCCCAGATTAAGTACAAAAAAATAATAAAAATTGAAATAGTTATTTGAAAAAAACATACCCAAAAAAAGTGCAACTTTTTCAGTCATTTTTTGATCCTTAAAATTAATAAAATCGTCAACATTTTTTAACAGCATGATAATATAACTCTTTACGAAGAAAATAAACCGAAAATCGTTACTGTAGGGCTATCCGCTGAGAAGATCTAGCCAATTTTCGAGAGCGCCTTTTTTTCAAAAAATCAATATATCTCGAAAAATAATTAATATTTTTAAATTTTTCAAAAATATACATTTTTGGCTTGCCGCGGGCTGTGCTTGCAGTAAATAGCAAGTATGGGAACGTAGGTGTAAACGAGTTATAGAAGGAGATAAAATAGAACATTTTTAACGGTTTTTTCGATATATCTCGAAAAGTTACAAAGCAATCGATACTTACAAAAAATCAGTCAATATATCTTTTTAAAACCTACAACTTTCTCATTTAAAATTTTTCAATCGGTGCTATATATTTTTAGTTATTTTAGAAAAACCGTTTTTTGCAACTTTGCGATTTTTTTAACCATGTTCGCCATTTTGGATCGAGTTTAAAGAACAAGAAACTCAATTTAAAATTTAATTTTCTATACGGTCATATTTTTTGTCCAGGTAATAATTTCTGTAAGCATTTCTCTATAATGCTTGGACTATATCCATAGTCTTTTTTACGAAAAGTCATATGGCTCTTTTCTTTCTACAAGGCAAGTTGGCATGTGGCACCTTCCTCTCGAAACAAAGAGAAGATTTTTGAAGGAATATAAAATGCAGGCGTAAGAAAAAAGCGGGCGTAAAATAAGAAAAAGGGACATGAAGTAAAAAATGTTGTAAAAAACAATGAACGGAAAGGCAATCGTAAAGGAAAAAAGCGGACGTAAAGAATAACCAAGCGGATAGAAAGTAAGAAAAACGGGCGAAAAGTAAATAAGCAGGCTTAAAGTAAAATAACGTTGGTAATAACAAGTAGGTGTCAAATAAAAGAAGCAGGACTAAAAATTGGCCGACGCGCGACGTAATGTAAAAAATAAGCGGACAAAAAAACGCGAGTGAAGAGTAAAACAAATGGACTTAAACTAAAAGAGCAGGTGTAAACAAAAATTGGATCAAAGTAAAAGAAGAAAATGCGGACATAAAATAAAAATAACTCATATAGTAGAAATGGAGGTGAAAATAAAGAAAGCACAGGCAAATTAAAAAAGAAACTCTCTCGTAATAAAAATCGGTCGTAAAAGAAGTGGGACAAAAATAGCAGGTGTAATGTATATTAAGAGAGCAAACAAATACCGACGAATAGTAAAAAAAAGCGGACATAAATAAGAGAACGGGTGCAAAGTAAAAAAGCGAGCTGAAAGTGAAATAGGGCGTGGAAAAAGAAAATGCAGACGTACAGGTGAAAATACAGGCATTCAAACTTCTGGAGTATAAGAAATGCGGGCGAAATTAAGAAAAAATGGCGTAAAATAAAAATATAAGCAAAAAATATATAAACCTAAAAGGAAAATAGGGCGTAAACTAAAGAAGCTAGTGGAAAGTAAAAAAAAAACGGGCGTAAAGAAAAACAACCGTACCTAGATTAATGTTAATCGTTAATGATAAAATAATAATTAAGCTAACATCACTATGAAAACTTGTTTTCCAGTGCTCATGAGACTTATAAGACTTCAAATAAAAGGCTCTATGATCAGCGAACTCGCCTTGTTTCTCTCAGAGAGAAGGAGATAGAGAGAGGAGTCATACGACTTTCCGTAAAAAAGATTATTGATAAACGCGATGGGACTCGCTCACTTTCAATGTCGATTATCTCGATAAGTATTAATTTCTGGGTCTTGGACTCGTGACAACTTTTGATCAGGACATCTCAAACTATAACATATTTCATTTTAAGTAGGACACCTGTATATTTATATCAAACCGCAGCGACTATATTAAAAATTCAAAACTTTGATTTTCTATTCCTGATGAAAGACAGGATCTTGTCCATTTTATAAAAACAGAAAGATAAAACAAAGTGCTTGCTATCTTATAAAAAACTTTGAAGCATCGTTCTTATCACAGTAACTTTATGATTTATGAGTCATGTTATTAATAACATTCTGAAGCTGCTGTTTTTATTCACTTGTAAGTGAATAATTTTAAAAAGTGTTGCAAAAACTTGAATTTTTTATTTCGCTATAATCATTTGCAGTAATGATTATAATCATTATTTGAAACAATTCTAAGAAGTTAATATAGTGAATATATTTTACCAGAGGCTTAGCCTCCGCAGAAACATTTTGAAGAAAATAAAAAATCATAATGAAAATATTATTATAAAAAAGAAATAGATGAGATTTTCTTTTAATAAACCTGTATATTTTAATATTTGCATTTTTACTTTAATACTGTTTATTATAATTAATAAGATGAATAATAATTTTTAAAAAAATGCCTGGAAGATCCTATACCTACTATGTGTTTTATATATCCATATATCTACACCTAACATTTTCTATATTGTTTTTATTTTTAATACATATTAAATAGTTACCTAATAGTATAAAATAGTGAACATTACTTACCAGCTAACGCGGTTGCAAAAATGGCGATAAAACCCAGAATTAGGATGTTCTTGCCCATTTTGTCGGTTCAAGACTGATTAGTCAGTAAAAATAAAGTCAATCACCAATTTCATCGAAGGGGTCGCATATATTTATACTCACAGTGTTATCTATACAAAACAAATGACACCTCAATTACTGAAAGGGGAAGGGGGTACTTAAGAACTGATATACATTATTCACAAGTAAAACAGTGTGTTTCCATTAATTGTAAGAATCCTCTTAAAACTTATCATAGTTTTCTTGACACTACTGATTACGTTTTACAACATACATTGCAATCGTTGAATGGATCATATAGATCCATGCATAAGATAATGTTCATATGAGTTTGTGCTTTTAATTTTTTCTTTAACAAAACATTTAATTGGGAAATACTTAATTTTAAAGGTTCACGTAATCGTAAAGTTTACTTATTAAAGAAATTATTTGTTAATGGTTTTTAAATGTCAGTTTCGCAATAATTGACAATAATGTGAAAAATTAGTTTTCTATGAAATATTAAAAATATTAATAACAATTACAGTTTACTTTCAAACTGAGAAGCTAAAGAAAATAATATTTTTCAATGTTGTGTATATTCGAGTAATATGAAGAAATCACAATATTTTCTTAATAAATTGTTAAGATTTTTACCGAAAATACGAACATTAAAATTTATCTCTTCAAGTACATACATGTATGTATGTATGTATATATTTTAATTTCGTTCGATAACATATATTTTTATATCACAACAAATACTTGAAAAGATAAAATCAAGTAACATTAATTAGTCTTTCATTTTTCTTATATTCCCTGTAGGCACTAAAAGACCTAAAAATCTGTCCGTATCGTAACGAAAATAATGAAAACATATATAAATTCTGCATAAAATATTTATTATGGTTATATATAATTTGCTTATCTACAATATAACCAAAAATGATACAATAGTCAAATACACAAATGTTCTATTTATTAATGCATGTGCAACTTTCAACAATTTTTCGACAATTTCTGCCCCTTAAAGGGGGTTGAAATAAGCTTCCTCTAAGTTATTTTTTGCTGCAACTTTTTTATTTGACAAAAATTGAATATTCAAAAATAAAAAAGATACGAAAAAATATTCAAGAGTACAAAAGTTTAGATTTTTTTTCACAGAATATTTTGTTTTTTTTTTATTTGTGTAGGATAAAAATTAACAGAGATGTTGCTGCTAGAAGAAATTTTATATATCTAATAGTTTTTGAAGAAATATCGTAGGGAAGGGATAGATTCAGTAACAAATTGCGTCTTAGAATTGTTTTATTATTAATTTTGTTATTTTGAATTCAGTTTCGTATAGATTTACTGTTCCGGTGAATCAGTGGTCGGGGATGCTGTGGATGTCAACAAATCACCACACTGTACATCTCTGTTACAAACGTTCAAATTTGAGTCTCAGTAGAGTCCACTAGGGCACTCCAGAACTTGAGCTGTTCCGTGATCGCACTCGTAGAACTTTCCACATTCAGTTTCGTGTGGGTAGTATGTAGCAGTGCTGCTCTCATCCTCGTCGGGACAATCAACTGAAAGTTAAAAATCATTCTTGTTATTGTATAGCACATGAAAAACATATATATTGTTATGATTATATGTGTGTACGATAGTATATGTTAGCGCCAAAATAAAATTTGATTGTTTTTGATATTAATTTGGTTGGATTGGTGTACTGTGTATTGTATATCTTCGCCCTACCTAGCTCTAGACTCTATCTCCGTAGTCGGTTCTATGCTTTAGCAAGAAACCACACCAATCACAGCTATAAAAACAAAAGGTTTAGTAATAAATGAATTTATTATTTTTTTGTTCTATATATATGTCAAATTTTGTCACTCTAAACTCTTAAACACACTAGTCAATATTTTGAAGTATTTCACAATGTTTATAAAGCCTTATACAAGAGGTTATATTGATAATATCGTTAAATTAAATTTCATGTAATACTGGTTGCATACCTTAAGACACTGACGCTTTATCTTATAACTTCTTATTTAATACTTATTAATTTTCTCTAATATTAATATTTAATTCTACAAAGATTGGCCAGTTTTAAGTATATATGAAATGATTAAATAAATTTGCTTAATATTGAATTAGTGATTTACTAAACGTTTTTATATTAATTTTTTTTTTACTTTTGCAATTCTGTATTATATTTCGTATACGACTTTTGTTTTTATTATAAAAGGTACCTTTTTATACGTATAATCGATAAAGATGTGTCGACTGATTTCTCTCCTTTACTTTGTTTTATTGATTCTTTCCTCTGCCACTGATATGCGGTTTCCTTACTGCTCTCCTGGATCCTGCTACTGATCTTCCGTTTTCCTGATTTTCCTACTGGCCTCTGGAACCTGCTACTGTTGTTCAGCGTTCTTTATGTCTTCCTGGACCTTGTTTGTGGATGATCCGCTTGTCTCGAATTTCTTAGATACCTTATTTTTCCAACTGGTATTTTTAAATTCTTGCTTTCTCCTATTTGAGTCTTTTTCCCTTTTCTCGCTTCTTAACTGCTTATATTTCTCTAGGTTTTCTTTTCTTACTTTTAATAACTGTCGTTTTCAAAATTCTTTCTGTAACTAATCAATAAATCCTTTGCTTTTCTTACTATCTTGATTTTTCTTTTTTTTCTAAAGGCCTTTCCACATATCTTTGAACGTGCCCTTTTCCTCTTATAATTCACTTCACTTCACTTTCTCTTTTTCACTTATACACCCTATTCTACTTTCTTTACATTCAATTTTGCCTTATACTTCAAAATATTTTTTTATTTTCTCATATTATTTGACCTTTCTAATGACTACAGAATCCTTGTGTATCCTACTTTAAATTTGACATTTTTCTGACATATATTTTTAATTAATCTACAAATTGTCTTTCAATTTTAATATCATTTATTACCTCTTATTCTAACTTATTTTTTAACTATTTACTAACATGATAATCAACTCAATCATAAATTTTATAATAATCATTCCAACCATTGACTTTACCACTTTGTCTTTTACATAACGATTTAATTTAAATTTTACTTTTCTCCCGTTAATCTGGTTTCATCTCAATATATATTTAATATGAGAAAAGATTGTCAATATAGTAAATAATATAAAAAAACAATGCACTCAGTTAATGTACAATAAACTGCAGTCAATTAAAAGAACTTCATCAAAAACTCATTGCAGAAGACAAGGAAGAGAATTTAGTAGACTTGACAAAAGCGTGCGCCAGATCTTTTCCTTTAGGAATCAGTTTTATGAACAAACTAATGGAGCAGCCGCCATAGGTCCACCCTTTGGCAAATATCTACAAGGAGGCCTTTGAGGAGAGAACCTTGAAGAAAAAAATGCCGGCCCCATGGATATAACAATATAGATTTCTGCACCACATCAATAAGGTATATCTGGTCATCAGCTTCGCAATGGAAATGGATAAAAGCGATACCCTGCCGCTCCCTTGACATCCTTGTGAAGAAAAACCAAAACCATAGTCAACTCACATGGATAGATCTGAGTCTTATTATCATCCTGTATTCCCAACGCCTTAGTTCATCGAGTACGTACTATCTACAAGATGGAACTCCTATAGACTAGAACAACAGCATCTACCATCTCCTCTTAGAGAAAATATCGAATGAGTTATCAAACGGGCACCTAAGGATAAAGAAAAATAGACATATCTGACAACAATCTGTCTGCCCTATATACAAGGTGTCCCTGAAAAGGATGGACAACGCTTGACCACAGGTTCCTTGGATGAAAACAAGACTATTTAGCCTAACTTACCTATGTACAAAAGTGCACGCCTACTGAGATATAGCCTTCTAAATATAGAACAGATAACCTAGTTTTTTTCAAATAATTTGAAAACTGTTTTTCTTAGAAACTTCAAATTTGGTACACATATTTTTTTATATAAGGGCAATGTAAATATAGAATTTGGTGAGAATACATATACAGGATGTTCTCTTTCTAGTGCCTGTGCGCCACTGGCTATCCCGTAACTTTTTTGTATGTACGCCAATGACGACAGAATTTATATTTTTAAAAATAAGCACTATTTTAGAAGATTTTTTGCCTCTTACAAAATTTTGATATCGTTTATGGATTTCGAGTAAAATTGGCATTTTTTACACATTAAATAATATAAAATCAGTTTAAGATAAATAGAACATTCTAGTACGAGGTGCCATATAACAGAGAAACAAATTCATAACAATAATTAAAAGGTTCTGTGTCAAGCTAGCTGTGATTTAATTTTAGCTTACTTTGTTTTTTATTGCAATTTATACTTTTGCTGAACAAACTGATATGTTAGTAGTTTTGGGTTATTGTGAAGGAAATTGTTGTGCTACTGTTCGAACATATGCTGAAAGATTTCCTAATCGAAGAACTCCAAATCACAAAACATTTGCTAATGCGGAGAGACGCCTTCGGGAAACAGGACGTTTTTTACCTGTAACATTAAATCGTGGATAATGTACGGCCGGAATTATTCAGCTGGAGGAACAAATTTTGGAAAGGGTCGAAGAAATTCCTCAAGTAAATAAAAGGCGTTTAGCGGCAGAGGTTGGCTTTCAAAAAGTTCCTTTAATAGAGTATTAAAAGACCAGTTATTACAGGTTACAGGTATTACAGGGTACAGGTAGGTATTACAGGTTATTAAAGGTCTAACAGGTGGATAGGTAGAGGAAATAGTGCCCCTTTAAAATGACCACCTCGATCCCCAGACCTAAACCCATGTAATTATTTCATTTGGGGAGCCACAGTTTAAAATAACTTCAGTAAATACAGAAAACGAATATGGGAAAGAATACAACATGAAATTAATGTTATGAGAGGTAATGCACAATTATTGGATAATTTCTAATTTTCGAAGAACTAATGTCTGCTTTTAAGAACAAGAAAGTAACTTTGAGCATTTACTGTAATATTATTTTAATGTGATTACAAATATCAGTTTATTTAAAATGTTAATGTTGCCTTTCTTACATTATTAGTTGATATTGTTTATTTAAAATATTAATGTTGATTTTTATGTTATTGATTGATAATA